GAGGAGACTTTCTCATCTGAGCCCACTCTTCTCTTTTTACATTCTCTGCTCCTCTATGCTGTACATTTTTTCTTACACAGCAGACGAGAAACAGAGGGCAGCTTTAATTAAAAAATAGAGATTTGACAAAATGGTTGAATCTTACCACTTTTCCTTTTGAATTACACCTTTGAATTACAATGTGCACACACCTTCCTACATAGGGCTCAAGGTTTCTGACAATTAATTGGAATGTAGTGATGTCAGTTGCAACTAACATCAATGTCAAATTGATTAACTGGAAAAAATGTCTTGAGAGAATTTTGCCACCAAAGCAGCATAAATTCTGATAATATTAATACTTTGCTCTGCTGCAGCACCTTCCTTCTGTGGAGGTGAAAGCACTTAAAATTCAAGCTTCACAAACACAAGGAGAGCTCAGCTTATCCCTGAGAACTAGGGTCTGAGTTGCATATCACCAACACTAATGTAAATTAAGACTATTGCCAATGAAATCAATTACATTAAAGCTATTCAAGGCCCCTAAAAGGAACACGGCTTCTACTTAACAATGTACAGGCTTAGGGCGAGAAATGAAGGAAATCATGCTGCAGGGGAATGCACTAACTTGAGGTAGAATTTGAAGAGGCAACATGGTTAACATCCATGGCATAACAACAATCACTACAAGTTCACCCAACTTCAGCTTTACACATATGAAACTAAAAGACCATCAGCAGCGTGGCTTCCTGTCCATTATTTCATGCATTAGACACTCCTGCAGAACAGTACCACCTCCTGGATTATCAGCACTATTTCATGCAGCATGTAGGTGGATGTTCTTTAAAAATCCTCCTGTCCCAATACTGAGGCTATGTCTAGACTGCAGAGTTTTTCTGGGATACCAGAGGTATCCCAGAAAAACTCTGCTGTGTCCAGGGAATGCATCCACTTTTTCGTAACAGTTTCTAAAAAAGCAGGCGCACTCTTTTGGCATCTCTGTATTCCTCATTTTATGAGGAATAAGGGATGTTCCAAAAGAGGAGGTTTTTCCGACTTTTGGCCCTGGCCAAAAAGAGTGTGCCTGCTTTTTTAGAAACTGTTATGAAAAAGTGGACGCATTCCCAAATGTTGGAAAAACCTCTTCTGAAAAAACAAGCGGAAAAAGATATGCACCCCCCACCTCCCCAGCAGTGTAGACATAGCCTGAGAGAGCTAACCCTTTGTATTTCATAAGATCAAACAAACTCAGGACACAAAGCTATAGGACTTTTAAGTGGGTGCCCATGGGGTATTCCAAAGCTGTGTACTAATTCTGCAGTGGCAGGCTGTATTCTCTGTGGTTTGTCCTTATTCCTATTTATGTATTGTTAACAGAAGGAAGATTTAAAATATTTACCTTGGATATTGTGATACACTGACTTCAGTGGAGTAAGATACTACTCTTTGGCCTGGTCTACACTAGGATCTTAGTCTGAAATAAGCCTCCCAAGTCACCAAACCCATTATTCTGGAATAAGGGGCCACGGAATTTGAATTCTGTACTCCTGCTTTTCATGAGGAATAACACTAATTCTGAATTTATAAGTCCAAAATAATATTAGTGTGGACACGCCGGTGCCACTAATTTGAATTAATTGGCCCCTGGGAGGCCTCCCATAGCTCCCCACAGAGTGCTTCCTGGGGTTCTGAGTCCGAGGTAGCATGTCCACATTAATGGAGTCTACCTCAGGCTACATTTGATTCTTCCCCATATCGAGGACATGGAACTTCAAATTTGTAAAATTGGGTGCCCAGAAGTCAAATTTAGTAAATTTGAAATAATCTCCTGGTGTTGACATGGCCTTTGTGAGTGTGAGTATAACAACCTAGCCCTAGTTTATTCAAAAGTCAGCTCTCCTCACTGCTTCTGTGTTGTTTGCTAGAACACTTTCAAAATCCCACCCAATGCTCTGAGAGACTGGAATAAAATTATGCACCTGTAAACACTATGTTTACTCTAATTATTTTAAGGATAGTAGCAACTGTCTCAGTCATCTGAATTTAGCCTAATTCCTAAGGAATATCCTTTCAACTGAATTAAATGTTAAAGTTTGATAACTATGCATGACCTAATAGTTTTGGGTGAATGGGAGATGGGTTAGTTGTGAAGCACTGGGTGATTTTTATCACTATGCAAGTTATTTTTAATTTATAACTATTTTTAAAATGTTAACATTAAAACTGTATGAACTGGGCTGCAAAGTCAACTCCCGTTTGAGGTGAATGGAAAAAAATCACATTTTTAGTATGTGCTACCTTTTCAGGCTCTGGTTGCATGTAAGAAAGCAAGTGCAATTAATTAGAATAAAGTCAAAGTATCTTCTAATCCAGAGGAGTTGGTCAAACTGAGTAGAATCCACAGGAAACCGGCAAGAAGGTCTAAGCCTTTCATTTTCCAATGTCAGAGCTCATTAATATTATCCCACCATTTATTAGATTATGAACAATAGCTCTAATCATTAGAAGTTGCGCCAATCACTTCTGCACAAGCAGTTTCCTATTTTAAAATAGTATGATAAAAAGTTAAAATTATGGTGAATAAGGAACATCACCATACTATTCTATTAAAGTGTGCCCCGAATTACTAAATTATTCCTGATTTTAAAAAAATATTATTTCTTTTAAAGAACAAGATCCCATAATAATTATTTTAAAAGAATGGATCTGGTCCATGCAAAGCATAAAACCAAGAGGTATTGATTTTTTTGCTGCACCACAACAAAAAGTGTTCATGGAAATGGCTGTTTTGCTTTCTCAAAGAGATAATCATCTGGAGATCAGTGATTTTGTTAGGCCTTTCAGACATGGAAGCACTTGGAAGTTTAAAGGTCATTAATCATTTTCATCTTTAGGCCTTGAAGGAGGCACGAATTATTCTTCCCTTAAGAGGCTGAGGGGGGCGAAAATTATTCACCATCTGGATCTTTTCATCTCCCTCACTGGTGAAGAGAAGAGTTCGGAATTTCTCCAGCTGTAAATACATGAGAAATAATTTTACTACTTGCAAAGGTAAGTGGTGTAATTGTAAAAAGATAAGAGGAAATCATTCACACTTTTCAATCAGTTAATAGTACATTTTCAAGTGAAGAGACTAGAGAGATGATTAACGATGGGGGAAGGCCCCCAACAATTACTGAATATTAGACACCTCCAAAAGTAATTTGAAATGCATGATTGGCTCATTTAACATGTTCCATTGTTTTCTATATTTGAAATGTTTAATACAAAAGGTTCAAGTTCCCATTATGGAAGCTTCAGTTCCAGTTAGAGATGAAAAAGACCTGTTTGGTCATCTAGACAGTAAATCCTTTCCCTTTATCAGACTATTACCTAGGGTGTTTTGCTCAGTTTACTTTTAAATATGCTGTACTTTTAAATAGACTGTAGTTCTTATCACTTCCTACAGAGGAGACTATTTCAAATGCAGTATGTCTTACTGCCAGGAAATTCTCCTGATAGTCAGTCTAAAGTTTCCCTTTCTTTAGGCCAAATCATACCCTCTACTATCACTGAATGGTCCAGGAATGCAGAGGATCCTGGGTAATAGGGTTGCCAACTGTCCAATTTTGAACTGGACAGTCCAGTATTTGTGCTTTCTGTTCGGGAAACAAATTGAGAAAATATAAATGAGAAAATATAAATGTTCGGTATTTTCTAAAGAAGATGTAATGTAGATTGTGATGTAATGTCAAGTGTGTCCGGTATTTTTATTGAAACCATCTGGCAACCCTAATGGATAACATTCTCTGTTTGGAGTGAAGTGCAGTGCAGATGGAAAAATAATAAACAGGAACCTATTAGAATATTAGGTTAAAAATATTAGAAAAGATCAAAAAAATATTCAGCTTGGAAATCTGCAAGCTAATATATTTATACACAACTTATTTGAAGCACAAATATCCAATGGAAAGAAGAAGAAATCTGGAAACCCAGAAGTGTTAAGTGATGTGGAGTAGATGTTATGTTGGTTGGCAAAGGGTAGGCAGGCCCACTTACATGGAGGAACAATGGGGGAAGTTGCCCCAGAGCCTGGAAATCCTGGCTGGAGCCCCAGGCCCTTTAAATTGCCGCCAGAGCACCATGGCATGCACTCCATGTGGCTCTAAGGGCTGGGGAGAAGTGGGGGAAGTGAATGCTGCAGTCCAGGTGGTTTGGGGGACTGACTGCTCCCATCCTCGTTCTTTCTGTCCAAGGCCCCGCCCCTTCCGGGAGCGCAGAGCTGGCTCCCCACACACACCTTGCTCAGGGGCCTGTGGAGGCTGTCAGATGCCCTGAGGGTGGGCTTATTGTATCTACAAAACCACCTCCACAATAAAGACTAAGGCAGTGCAGAAGTAAGGATGGCAATACTACACCCCCTTAAAATAACCTTGTGACCCTCTGCAAATCCCTTTTGGGTGAGAACTCCACATTTGAGAAATGCCGATCTCCCCTGTGAAATCTGCATCATATAGGGTAAAAGCACACAAGACACCCGATTTCACCAACGATGACCAGACTGTATTGTCCATGATATGATATAGGGTAAAAGCACACAAGACACCCAATTTCACCAACAATGACCAGATTGTATTGTCTATGATATGTTTTTCATGTTTGTAAATTTGGTAGGACCTTATTTATGAACATTTATTTTACATCGATTCAGACAAATATCAAAGGATAAATCATGCTGAGTTAAATCAGTGTTTGTTAAAACAGAATTTGGTTTAAGGGCCAGATTTGTAAAGGTATCTAAAGATGAAGATTGACATTTAGTAGGAGTTTCCATAGTACCGTGGTACCTAACTTCCATTGAAATGAATGGGAGTTGGGCACATAAATACTTTGAAAAGCTCACTAAATACATATCTGTATATTTAGGTACCTAAATATCTTTGAAAATCTGCACTTAAGTTCTGAAGTCATTTGTTAATTCCTGGCAAATATAGGAAGAGTGAGATAGATAAAAGAATACTAATTTGACAAATAGCAAAGAAACTCCAGAGAAATCCTTGCATTCAACTAAGACACAGTTGTGCAGGTGTAAATGAGGGCAGAATTTGGTCCATTATATCTTTGTGGAGGCATAATAAACCAAATGTTGATTTTCTACTTTATCCACACTGATAATGTATTAACAAAATCCAACATTCAGTACTTCAAGAGTAGATGTCTCAGGCTATTTGCCATGTCTTGAATTATTCCCAGTGTACAAAGAAAACACTCACTGCCCACAGATCCCATTTTGAATCCTAAAAAAATTCAAGTCAAAAGAATCAAAGCTTGGAAACAAGCTGACTGCAAGATTACCTGTTTCTTAGAAACTTTGACAGGCTCTTTCAGCACTATCCACGTTACACTCTCATGTAAAGGAGGTGTTGTTAGAGAACCAGGATATGTCCAATAATTTAAACTCCAGGGCAAGAGGCATTTTGGGTTGAAGCTACTGAACTGAGCTTTTGTCCCCTGGAAAGAACAGATACATTATATTTCTTTATTTAATGTGTGTTTAAGGAGATAGATATTTACTGAGAAACAGAAATATCAGATGATAGCTTAAAAGTGCACAAATAATCAGATGACCATTTAACTGTGTTTAAGCACTGCAATATCATGAGAATAGCATTTATCTAGTATCGTGGTGATATTACATGGGCTGTGGTGACCCCAGATCCAAATGCTGGCTTGGGGATTGTATGCCCCTGCTGCCCGTGTTAGCACTGAGCTAGTAAAATAAAAGGTTCCCTTGCAATTTGCGCCCTTTCCCTTGGAGGAAGTTAGGCAGAAAATATCTCCTTTGCATAGTGCCCAGCAGGAGCTGCTAACTGTGCACACTTCATTACCAGCATTTGCTTCTACAGAACTGTGGAATTCCAATGCTAGTTACCCGCCACTTTCTGTGCTTTACAATTCTGCTTGGTGTCTAGAGCAAAAATCCATCCAGGCAAAGGTTGTCTCTGAAATCAACTATGCAAATCTAGAACAAAGAGCAGGTCTATCCTGGAGCTACAGGGATGCTAAGCTGGCACTGCATGCAACGCCAATAAAGGTTGCACAACTACTTTCAGGACTGCAGTGGTCTAGAACAGGACACCTGGCTCCATGCATTGTTATGGAGAAACAAACTGGGAGGAGGGGGGACCTGCTCACACCTACTCCACAATCAAGCAACCACAAAACACCAAAATATCCACAAAATTCTGTTCATCCCAGATGCCAGGAGGAGTAAGGACAAAGGCATCTCATCTTGAAGGGCTGTCTTGCCACCTTTAAAAGTAATTACAAGAAATGGCTACAGGGACAATGCTTCCTTTACAAAAGGTGTGGGGAGGAGCAAGTTGTTGTCATGTTCATCCAGCTATGGCCAAGCACATTTTCACAACATCAGAATTCAATAGGCCCTCTCAAACACAGAGGCTGTGTCGACATTGGCAAGCTTTTGCAATATCTTGCTGCCTGTCTACATTGGCCACGAGTATTTGCGTAAGAACACTGACGTTGTAATGTACAAAATCAGTGCTTCTTGTGCAAATATCCCTTAGTGGGAGTGTCAGAGTAAGTCCTCTTGCGCAAGTGTTCTTGTGCATGAGGCCAGTGTAGACAGGTAACATCAATTTCTTGCGCAAGAAAGCCCCGATGGCTAAAATGGCCATCGGAGCTTTCTTGCACAAGAGAGCATCTACACTGGCACAGATGCTATTGTGCAAAAACAAATCTTATGTGCAAAGGCACATGCCAGTATAGACGCTCTCTTGTGCAAATACTTTTAATGGAAAAACTCTTCCGTTAAAAGTATTTGCACAAAATCATGCCAGTGTAGACGCAGCCAGAGGTAAGAATAATATGTTCATTCATTCTGAACTCCTTGTTAGCATAAGGGAATTATATTGAAGTTTAGTGCATGAGAGCCTAGAATTCTATGATACAAGGCAACTAGGGGCATGTCTAGACTGCATCCCTCTGTTGACAGAGGGATGCACATTAGGCAGGTCAACATTGCAAATGAGGCAGGGATTTAAATATCCCATGCCTAATTTGCATAAAAATGGCCACCGCGTTTTGCCGACTCAGCACTTTGTCAGCAAAAAGCTGCAGTCTAGAGGGGGATCTGTCGAGAAAGAAAGCCTTTTTCGACAGATCCTGTAAACCTCCTTGCAGGAGGCATAAGGGATCTGTTGAAAAAAGCTTTCTTTCTTGACAGATCCCTGTCTAGACTGCCACTTTTTGCCGACAAAGTGCTGAGTCGGCAAAATGTAAATTAGGCATGCGCTATTTAAATCTCTGCCTCGTTTGCAATGTCACCCTGCCTAATCTGTATCCCTCTGCCAACAGAGGGATGCAGTCTAGACATACCCTATGAGTGGCAAGAGACAATATATTAGCATGAAGTGCATCTAAATGATCACTTTAACATGTTCTTGTATTACATTACCTACTAATGACGTGTGAATTTGGGGAGGGAGGTTATAGGAGACGGTATTTGCTGCTTTAATTCATTTTTCTTTCACTCAAGCTAGTGCATCAGTTTATACTGTTGAAAAGTCATTCAAGTGAGAGGAAGATAAAAAGATATAAGATCAAAAGGAAAAACAAAACTTACTTTAAATTTTACCATATATAAGGCATCAGTTAGTCTGTTCATACTGGCATGTTCTTCTCCAGTCTAAAAGTGCAATTTATAGAGTTGCATGAGAATATAGATATGATATAGTTAATAATTATGCTTTGAATATGTAATAAAGATATGATATAGTTAATAATTATGCTTTGAATATATAATAAAGATGTAAAATTTTGTTTAATTAGTTAATTAAACTAGTTAATAATTATGCTTTGAATATGTAATAAGGATGTAAAATTTTGTTTAATTGGCTAATTAAACAGTCGATGCAATTTTCATTGACTGTTTGATTAGCTGATAAGGGCGCATCTGCCTTTGAAGTGTAGCAACAATCCCAGGGCTGTTGCTACACTTAAAAGACAAAAGCACTGGAGGAGCACGGGGCCAGCAGGGGACTCAAGCAGTCCCCCCACTGGTCTCATGCTCCATGTGGTGTTTCAAAGCGGTAGCGCCATAGGGAGCCCGGGTTAAGTGGGGGAGTCCCACCTGGCCCCGGGCTGCACGCAGCATTTCAAAGCAGCAGCGCCACATGGAGCTCGGAGTCTGGCCCCAGGCTCCAGGTGGCACTGCCACTTTGATGCACTCTTTACTTCCCCCGCCCCCCCGAGCTTTCTGATAGAGGCAGTAAGGGGGGGAAGTGACTAGTCAACTAGCATGTCGACTATTCGTTCACATCTATAATATATATCAGGCCATTTTATGTTCTAGGCATGTTCCCACTAGGTTGAATTGAAATCTGCCTTGAATCACTGCTTCTAATAAAGTAATTTACTTTCATGAAACAGATCTTCTCAACTTTGTGTCTTAGATCTTAAACAGTTGACAGTTTGATTCTTCTGTACACATAAATACATAGAATTATTTTCATGACTCTTACCTCCAAGAAAATACCAACTACCGCCAAGCCATCTGGAGCTACTGCTGCTTCTCCAAATGTTGCATATTTCCTAGCATTCCAATGAACCAAGTGAAGCTATGAAGGGGAATCATAAGTCAGAAGTATGAACAAGCAATATGATGAAGGTCCTCCTGCAGGTTGTATTACACTTAGTAATCAATAATATCAATCAATTTATAACATAATAATACTTTGCTTGAAGAGCAGATTTGTCAGAAACTCTGGGACATACCAACTCAACTAGGAATTTATCAAGTTCCAAAGCAGTACTTTGAGGGGATTAGTTGAACACACCCGCATGCACCCACACTCACACACCACTCTCGGAGTCAACTAAAGCTATGTCTCTTCTTCTTTATATGTAAACTATTATTGGCTGCTAGAGCTATGACTCCAACCCCAAAATTATTTATTAGGAAAGTTGCGTAAAGGACTAGCAAGAATGCGGCCCCCTCATCTACCTACTGTATAAACACAGTAATAAACAGAGCACAAATGTACTGGTTATTTACTTAAAGTGTGTGGTAAGAACTGTCATTACTGGGCATTGATAAACCATCCTTCAGAACTATCACAATGTGTATGTCTAATTAATCAGTTATATCATAAATGCCAACCAGCTTCCAGCTACAGGCCTACAGGAAGCTCAGGTCCATATTGAAGAGTTTGGCCAACATCCAGAAGATAGATTCCAGACACATAATATTGATGGTAAAAATGATACGCCCGATCTATCCTTTCATGGCTGTAATAGATAAAAAGGTTTCAGATAAATATAAGGGCAGTATGGTGGCACATTAACCTTCCTTTTTGACAGCCTCTCTGACAGTCCCGCTCTCAGATCTATCTTCTGGTAGTTCTTCTCTAGGACTAGCTAACCCTCTCCAAACCCCACACATTCCCAGTACTGTACCATATCTGTAGTGAAAGCATATCCTACCTAGGAATGAAAAAGCCCTACCTAAGGGAATGCATAGAGGTAAGAGATGGCTTCCAGACCCCATTGTGGATGGAGAGACATGGCCAACTAGAAACTGCATGTAGCCAGCACTTCTATTAGTGAATATAAATAGTAATATATTGCTTGGTTAAATGGATGGGATGGGCCAAGCTGAAAAATTCAGATTTGGATGCAAACTTCCAAATTTTGTTCCAGGTTTGTATCTTGGTTGCAAGCCCTCTCAGAGAATGACAAAGGCCTGGACCACTTTGAGTTCAGCCCAGCCCCAGCTCCAGACCCCTGATGTAACTTTTCATCCACAGTGGCATACTAAAACCAAAAGAATATATGAAAATGAACACTTGAGACATTTATTTATTAACAATTAAGTCATTTTACCAATAGCATGTATATTAAAAATATAACTTTAATTGTGAGTTTCCACTGCAAGCAAAACTTCATTTTAGGAATGCATTTCTGGCTTTGTTGTGTGCAAACTCATTTATAATTGAAGAAAAATCTAATGTATGGGCAACATCACTGTTAATGTTAAGCACTGCAAGCCCATTCAAATGCTCTTATCCCATTGTAGTATGATGATAGTTCTTTACTTATTTTAACATGTTGAATGTGTATTCACCTGAAGCCACTGATGCAGGGAGATTGACAAAAATATGTAATTCAATTGTGATATTAGGAAATACAGTCAACAGGCCAAGATCGAATATCTCCTGAAGCAGTTATTTTGGCTTGCAGTCTGATTTAAAGTTGGTGGAATGTATACGTTTCAGGAGGACGATCTTATCACAGAGATCTCTTGAAATTTCATTGTTGTTCCTTTTTTGAAGCTGTTCAGCCGCTGAATATAGATCTTCATCACTTAGTTCTCTGAACTCCCAAAGGAATCCAAACAGGATACAAATTTGTCATTGTGACTCAAATCAACGTGCAAGACCAGATATGATGGAGTCAACAATAACAAAAAAAACCATTGACTCAATAGTGCCTTTCTGCATCAGATTGAAATGTTAGGCTGTGATTGGTGGAAAACTCAAATGAAATCTCAATACCTTGTGCTACTGATTTGGACTCAGAAAGGATCATGCCCCGTTGATTATGAATCATTTTAGTATCTTTAAGAAGTCATTTAATGGTATCCCTCTAAATGTCTAATGTAGCACTGCATGCTTCAATTGTAAGATTACTTTTGTGGATCATTTTTAGCAGCTTCATCCAAATGGATGACATTAAAATGCATTCAAATTTGGATGCATATTTATGAATTGACTTAAGCTCAGTGTGAGCCTGTATTGTGAGAGTAAGAGATTCAAGCTCACTTAAAGCCTTTCTCACAGAGTCCAAATGCTGGTCTAACACCATCAATTCATGCTGACCATCTCATTGTTGACATGAAGTGAAGGGTAACAGGCAGATGTTGCTTCAGAATTTCCCACTTTTGAGGTTTGCTACTGAAGAGGTTTTACAATTGCTGGATTGTTCCAAAGTATGTGATTGCTTCCTTGCATGATTCAGCGCAATCAACGCTGAGAAGATTTAGTGTGTAGTTGCCACAGCTGGAGAAAATACAGTTTGGATTTTGCTCAAGAAGGACTGCTTGTACTCTGTTGTACTTCCCTACCATATTGGATCCTTTGTCATCGGCTTGGCCAATTGCAGACCTGAAAATTTAATTTGAAGCCTTCAAGAATTTCTAATACACGAGTGGTGACTTCTTTTCAATTTTTTTCATGAAATTATCAAACAAAATGAATCATTCTTCAATTGAAACCTTTGAATTTCCTTCAATTTTAACATATTGAACAACCAAGATCATCTGTTCTTTATGAGAACAGTCTGGAATTGCATCAATAAATAATAATAATAGGAAAGTACTTCACGTGCCAGATGGATCAGACAGTACTGATGCATTTGAAGTATAACTGTTAAATATGAAACAGGGTACACAGTTCAGAGCCTACTTTTCTGTGCTCCAGCAGAGACAGTCTCTTGTGTAGATCTCTCCATTTGGAAGCGTTTTTGTCAGCAGACAAGTGGGAAAAGCATGATTTTCAGCATCTTTCGGTATATTACTTGGAATCTGAAAACAACCAACTTTGAGAAACGACTGCATTTGAGCAACTTTGTTCTTATCAAGAAGTCTAAAATAAGGTTCTGATGCCACTGTTGTTACACCTGCTGTGAAGCATCTCTGAGGTCCTCATTTTCTGCCTGCACAGTCTCTAAATCAAACATAGATTCTGCATCTATTGCTGTTGTTGGCATTTCTGTGTCTTGATTAATGACCTTCTCATTTTGAGGCAGTGGCATTGAAATATCATTTGCGGGTACAAAGTTTTCATCATCAGACTGGAAGTGTCACTGTCAGTATGGTCACTGTCTAATAGCTGAGGCGTCTTTTCTACGAGAAATGTGTTATTGGCTTTAAACTCTTAACTGCTGCTTCACTCTTTTGTTTTCACCATATCTTACTTGACCACTTTACAATCTTCACTTCATTTTTGTAAAGGAGTTATTTTAAAAAACAGTAAGGGTATGTCTACACTACCACCCTAGTTCGAACTAGGTTAATGTAGTGATACGAACTTGCAAATGAAGCCCGGGATTTGAATTTCCCGGGCTTCATTTGAATGTTGCCGGGCGCCGCCATTTTTAAATGTCCGCTAGTGCGGACTCCATGCCCCGCGGCTACACGCGGCACGAACAAGGTAGTTCGGATTAGGCTTCCTATTCTGAACTACCGTTACTCCTCGTTACACGCAGCACGAACTAGATAGTTCGGACTAGGCTTCCTATTCCGAACTATCTGTATGCCTCGTTCCATGGAAGCCTAGTCCAAACTATCTAGTTCATGCCGCGTGTAACCGCGGGCACGGAGTCCGCACGAGCGGACACTTAAAAATGGCGCGCCCGGCAACATGCAAATGAAGCCCGGGAAATTCAAATCCTGGGCTTCATTTGCAAGTTCGTATCACTACATTAACCACACTAGTTCGAACTAGGGTGGTAGTGTAGACATACCCTCACACACAATAAATTAATTTGCTAAAAGCTATTGGTTATACATAATTTTAATTGTATGTACTTGGCAATTAATATTATATAATAACAGTTTGGGGGTGTTATTTAATACAACCCTAATAGCCTTATTTCAGCGTCTTGAAATTTTGTCTGCTAACATGTTCCCATTATTAAATTCCTCTAATAACTGGTGCATTATTATGAATATGAACATAAGGCTATTCCCAGATTAGATATAAAGTGTATTAAATAACTAGAATTAAAAGTTTATTATCACAAAAAAGCCTTTAATGGTGAATCTAAAACTGGACAAAGAGGTAGCTTACAGCTGAGCACGATACATTTATTGTATAGGAAGACACACAAGAAAAAACAGGAATACGAAAATCTCCTATGGAGGAGATTAGATAAACACATAATTTAAAGGATAAACACACCTTCAGACCAAGCAAAATCACTTTATAGTAACAGAATTAAGCATGACTTTCAAAACCTCTAAACTAAGGCAAATACCATAAACAGTATTTCATCATGTAGAATCACTAATTACAGCAGTGACTCCAGTCTCCAATCACGCAGATGAAAACCCAGATGTGACCAAAAAATTGGTGAAGGCCCAAGGTCCCACAATAATTTAAATCAATTTTTTGCAGGTATATAGAGCTTCTTTTGTTGTCTCTGTTATAACTGCAAGGTGTATAATACATAGAAATGACATGGTAGAAAAATGTCAAAATTTGAGGCTCCTTTGTCTCCTGAGGCCTGGGCCAAATGGCCTTCCTGGCCTTCCCTGTGATAGGCCCTGCTTGGTTGTAATTAAGTGATTATGAAAAAAGTTCTTACCTCAGAAGGAAAAGATTTGCTGTCAACTGTATGCTCTGATCCCTGATTATGCTTCATTCCCCAATGAAAATGGAACTGCTTTAGCCTATAGGGACCTTCAAGGGGTCCACCACTGATCACTGTAAATAGAAGTGCATAAAGAGAATGTAACAGATTAATTTTTTGGTGGTTTTGTTACTGCCTGATTGTAGAAACTTCTTGGCTCAAATAGTAAAGAAACAGCATCTATCAAGAGCCAGAAAGAGGGGGGAGGGGGAAGGAAATCATAGTTTTGATATACACAGAAAAGAAGCCAAAGCCAGCATTAACAATATACAAATAAAGTATTTTGTCTCAGCTCTCAGATTACTAGAATTAATAACATATGACAAATTTATTCCTGATTGAAGTCAATAAAGTTACATTAGAGATGTTTCTGATCCATAATCCAGTTTCATCAAATCTGTTAGAAACTCACAGTATCATCTATGTAAGTAAGAATCTCACATCAGCTCCCCCTGTCCAACTTTAGGCGAAGGTGGGTAAAGGTAAAGAGTTTTTCCTCCAACTTGATATCAGGGATAGCAGAAAGATATATACTAAACAAAGAAACAAAATTTTACAGACAATTACTTATATAAAATCTTACCATATTTCTATTTGGCCTTTGAAAATGTAAATTTGAGGTAAGAAGGCTTAGTAGCTATCCATAAAGCAGCCAAACTATGAATGCTTCCTACTGAAATTCAGAAAGCTGAACTGGTTTTAGTGTTTGGTTTTTTATGTTGGAATTATAAACACTTTTTTACATGTTTTAAAATAATTCTTTGGAATTGTAGTTATTTGGGACTTTGTGGAAGACAGGGAGTAGATCTGTTGAGATAAAGTAGATACAATTTTACACAGCCATAGATCATTTTGCTACACTATGGCTATGTCTACACTACAAAGAAAAGTTGGAAAAAGATGATATGCAAATTGTGGTTTGCAATTTGCGTATCTTTTCCCACTTTGCTTTTGAAAGAGGCTTTTCCAAAAGTTGGTGTGTATACACAGCGCCAAATTTTGGAAAAACCTCCTCTTTCAACACATCCCTTCTTCCTTGTAAAACAAGGTTTACTGGGATGGCAAAAGAGTGCATCTGCTTTTCCAAAAAAATTTTCAGAAAAGCAGATGTGTTCCTTGGACGCGACATAGTTTTTCTGGGATACCACTGGTATCCCAGAAAAGAGCTGCAGTCTAGATGTAGCCTATTTCCTCTTTGGATAATCTTTTTCCTTTCAGCAGAAGTTCTCTATATTCTGTTTTCTGTTAATACCTGAACTTTGTAGGGGAAGTTAATGGTATACCTTGTACTTAACAAAGCAGATTTCATCAGAGGATCTCAAATCACTTTACAGAGATAGGGAAGGTATACAGGGAAATATTATGAGATTTGGTTAAGGTAAATAGAACATTTTAATATTTTAAAATAATTATTGTAATAAATGAAGCCCATTAATAATAGGCAATGTGGTCTACACTTAACAAATAAAATAAATATTTTAGGGGAATTCTAGTAATTTCCTTGTGTTTGAAAGTGACAGGATACTACGCAATAGAACTGAAAACTAATAATTTAAACTATAAATTAAAAAGTATTATAAAGCACACACGCACAGTATCTGTATTTTTTAACAACATAGTTCTTATAATTTTATTTGTTTCCAAATTATTCATGTTATGGAATTATTTTACTGCTTCTCACATGGAATATTAACTTTCAAACATGCAGTCCAGAATCCCACCACAAGCTCAAATTGGACTTTGTATAGAAAACCAGCCTGTCTATATAAGCACATACTTATGTCCCATGAAGTTAAGTAAACTGAAGCCCAGTTAAACATATTCTTATATGTTTTGCTAAATTGGGGCCTAAACTGGGGATTGTAGGATAGATGAAATTCATTCTCAACCAACCCCAGCTAGTCTGAATCAGTGACCAAAGCTTCTTCATAGCCTCTATACAGACGTTTTGAGTCATTGGATCTATTCAAGTGCAGGTCTAATGGCTTTTCCTCAGGTCCAATAGCCCCCATTAGGCCAGTATACTTGATGGAAAGTCGCTTCACAGAGGCAGAAAGCCCCTTGCCCAGATGCTGCAGTGGTACTCTCACTTTGTGGAGCAATGCAGGCCCTCTAGTGCAAACCCTCTGATCTGGGTGAATTTCACTATTGAATGGAAATTTTTTATTATGTATAATTAAATTAAAATGGATAAACTTAAAAAACAACAAATGGTCTGGTAACACTTTCTAGACTAACAAAACATGTAGATGGTATCATGAGCTTTCCTGGGCACAGCCCAGTTCTTCAGATGTCCGGAGTTTCATACCATTTACATGTTTTGTTATTCTATAAAATGATACCAGACCATTTGTTGTTTTTACAGTTTATCCTGTACAGACTTACTCAGCTACCCCCTGAAGCTTCTAAATTAAAATGGTCCTTGAAGATTATTTTTCCAGATACATTTTACAAAGCCACTTTCCAAGGCAACATACTTAAAAGAATCTTTAAAGAAGCTAATTTTAGGCAAGCTCAGATCCATTGTCTTTATTTAAAACTCAGAAAATACACTGGCAAATTGGTCATTCTTTGAGCTGTTTGCTTGTCCTTTGGTTTTTTTCTTTTAAAAGTTCCAGTAGCTGTAATTTAAACCCACACCTGATAATGCTCTGCCGACCTTATGGGATTACTTCAAAGGCTATAGAGAGTACCTCAGGCCACTGCAGGACACTCATTTCCCAGCAGCCATAACATTTGGATTGGATATCTGACATATCAAATTAAATTGGCCTTAGCAAAAGCACCAAACTGGATGAATGACCATTAGTTGCTGACATCAGTTAAAGTAAAACAAATAAGCTAGCCTATCAGAGACCTCTGTACTTATCAGTTACCAATAGATTTCTGATATTCTGTGCTTCAGCATCGGTGTATAAATGAATCAGAGCAAAATTCTCAATATTTCCTGCAAAACGAGAACAATCTAATACAGGGGTGGCCAAAGTGTGACTTTCAAACTGCACATGGCTCTTTTACAGTTAAAATGGGGTGCATGGAGACCTCCAGAACTCCCCCATTCTCTACCTAGCAGTCTGGAGTGGGGGAGCTCAAGACCTCTGCCTTGCAGTAGTGTGGTGCAATAGGGCTTCTGATTCTCAATATTTCCTGCAAAACGAGAACAATCTAATACAGGGGTGGCCAAAGTGTGACTTTCAAACTGCACATGGCTCTTTTACAGTTAAAATGGGGTGCATGGAGACCTCCAGAACTCCCCCATTCTCTACCTAGCAGTCTGGAGTGGGGGAGCTCAAGACCTCTGCCTTGCAGTAGTGTGGTGCAATAGGGCTTCTGCAGGACAGAAAGGAGGGTCTTGAACCCCCAGCCCACGCTTAATCAAGCGCCTCCAAGAAGGCTGAAGCCCTGAGCCTCAGCAGGTGCACCCCAGGTCCCAAATATCTGAATATTGTTATATGCAGCTCGAAGAGTCTGTAAGTTTGGCCACCCCAATCTAGTGTTTAACAGCGCCAAAGTTCACGCTCCCTAAAGCTGAAGTGAAGGATAGAAGGGAGCTGCAGAATCTGTCTCCTAAGCAGAATTAGCCTGGGAGTCCATATACTTTCTGAAAAAGTCATTGTGTCGTGGGAAATCAACGTAGAAGAATCATGTGCTGATAGGTCTAGGTTATCAGTGGGATAAGTCATTGTGTCGTGGGAAATCAACGTAGAAGAATCGTGCTGATAGGTCTAGGTTATCACTGGGATAGGCATGTGGTCTCTGTTCAGCAGATGTGACAATCTTTCCATCCCCGGGCAATTCAGAGAAACCACCACAAGCTGAAATGCAGTTTCCTGTCCCCAGATTGAGTTCTTTATTCATCATGTAGGGATGTGGATCTTTTAAGGACACTGCACAGAAACTGAACACCATCTCTCCACTTTTCAAATCCCTAAGACTGTTGTTAAAAAAATGGCAAGCTCAAGAAAATAGTAAAACAAAAGTGGTTCAGATCACATATTCAACCCAGTAATGCCACTGATCTCATTTCAGATTTAAATAGCTGCAAAATTGTGCACTAGCCTTTAATCTTTACTCCAAATACTGAATTTTATCATCTCCCTAGCTAGCCTGTGCAGAAACATAAGACACGAGATCTCAATTCTAAGACAGCATCAGGCTCACCTGTCTTGTCATCAGCATCTTCGAAGTCCACCATGACTGAGTGGCCATTGTTGGAAATAGTAAGAGATGTACACGATTCATATGAGATAATAAGAGGCATCAGACTAGGGTCATAAACTGCTTGTGTGGAGATTATATCGACAGGTGATTGACGATATCCTTGGGCAACAGGATATGACTTGTACCACTCAGAAGGCCCTTTGAAAAAAAGAGGTAAAAAACCACTGTTATTTCTTTTTTGCCACAGCTATAAATGGAACATTGTAGGTTTTCATGAGCCTCAGATCAAGTGCCATTTTCAGTTGCAATCACTTAAATTTGTCATCATAGGAGTTATCTGAAACACTTTTCATTGAATTGTATATGTTTACAGATACTAGCAGCACAGCCTAAATACTGGTGCACAATTAAGCTTTTATGAAAAGCATAAAGAAGGGAAAATAATACAGTCATAGGTACACCCACACATTTCTGCATATTCCCTAGCTTCCTGTAGAAATTAAATGCAATTACAAATAGATTATTCCAGAATAGACTTAGTTGAGAAATCTCTCTTTCTCTCTCTTTCGTTAGACTTAGTTGAGAAATCTCTCTTTCTCTCTTTCGCTCTCTTTTGCTCTCTTTCTTTCTCTGTTCATATTTTAAACACATACAGTGTGTATTTAAGCTTTTGTGGCTAGGATAGTGGTAAATACTCAAAATTCAAATTAGATGCAGATGACTCAGAATCTCTCAGCTACTATGTGTTTATTTTTAAACCCATTTCATGACTGCAGTAAACCTTTGAGAGACAGGCATCGTTATTCCACAATGCCCACTATGCTATTCCTCTACAGTAAGTGATGAGTACAGGATGATTATCAACACGACAGGCATCGTTATTCCACAATGCCCACTAGGCTATTTCTCTACAGTAAGTGAGGAGTACAGGATGATTATCAACATCTGTGGACTTTCTGACCTTAAAGGGGTGGGATTAAATACCAGTTTAATCACACAGCTTGCTGCTCTAGGAGCTGGAGTACTCTCATGCTGTTTAAGATAACAAGATCATATCTACATCAAAAAATTATTTATTGCTGCCTTTTACTTTTGTTCCACTTTTGTATTTTACTACAACACACACAGAAATGTAATTCTTCTACTCCTTGTTTGGGAAAAGTTATCATATTGACTTTTAAATACATTAAAAGTAACCCAAGACACTTTTAAATTGTTGCATTCTAATTTTTGAGGAAGAGTGGAAAAATGTTAATTAGTTACAGGTCTAAACTACACCACTTGCCCTAGCCTATGTTGGTAAAAAAAAATCTAATGCAAAATACAATGTCAGTCTTTAGCAGTCCTCATAAACTGCACTAACTTATAAACTATGTATTTTACTTTTCTCAATCTGGGAGCTGATTTTAAAAGAAATTTGGTTTTGAAATTCCATCAAAGCCTATACAATAGAACTGCCTTCTTATAAGCTTTTTAACAATAAAGTAGATACATACAGATACACATATACATACAAATAACATCTCCTGAGGCTATGCATCTTCCACTCTGTGTTTAAGAGTGAAACTTGTCTTGCTGCGGTCATTCATCCACACATGTTCTCTCAAATGATAGAAACATACATATTTTCTGGAGTTTGCATAGTCTCCACATAAGTTTTCTTTATACATACTTTTTGAGGAGTGGGGGGGGACACAGAAAGAGAAGATCTCTAAATTAAACGTGCTCTTAAACACCAGAAAGAACAGTATGGCTTGTTTAATAAAAAAGAAAAGCCTCCAATGTTTAAATTCTGATCTATGTAATTTCTTGGAATTCAAGGAACATATTATAGCATGAATATCTCATTTTAGTGGGATCAGAATGTCCATTACCAGTCCACTAAATCTCCTTTACATAAATGATTGTTTTTGAGGGAGAAACAAACCCCCTGTTAACTATCATCTTTTTGGGAAGCAGATGGCTAAAATATCGTCCACTCCTGTTTAAGGGAGATGCAGGTTTCTTACATACAGATTATGACAGTGCTGTTGATTATGACTGGAGAGCACCAGGTAAAGTTTGTCATTCTCAGGTATCCATCTTTCAGTGTTAATACTGATAAACTAGTTAACTGCCTGCTGCACATTTGATGTCTGCAGATGATGAAATGCAGGCATTTCTGCAGGGATTAGACAAGGCTATTAAGGAGCTGATGAGGTGGGGGGAGAGAGAGTGATTAGGTTAGGAATGGATGCATGTAACATACCGTCATCCTGTCCGTATCCCCAGCAGTGATGACCAGTCATTATGCAGGCTGCTGTGCTCTGCTTTGCTTTCTGCTCTGTGATCCAATTGCTGCTGCTTACCTGCCTTTATAATGGCTCATTTGCAGGATGGTGTCTACCTCTTAAAGACACAGAGCAGATAAAGCAATTCCTGTGGTAAGAGGGAAGAATGTTTGTTCCTGATGGTCCCAGCTATCCATTCAAATTTCTGCTGCTGCTGCTCATCCCTTTTCCGGTGTCTACTCTGCCCTGGTCAAAGGGAACCACTAGAATTCACAGTGACCCATTTACAAATGCTTTCAGTTGGCTAGAAGACAAGCCATTGTCAGGTGGCTAGTGGCATGTGTCCATATCCAGGGTCAAAACTGAGACAAAGTAGTAATATTTTCTCAAGCTCCATCCGCAAACAAAGCCCAACCCACCTGACCCGTCAATGTTAAATACTGCTTACCATGAATTGCAAAAATCTTCTTACTAGCACCTTCCTCCTTTCTTGGGTGCTCTACATAGAATGACATCATCTGGTTGCCATCTTTCTTCTTTTTAATATTTGTTCAACAGTGAAATAGTTAATAATGTTTATACTGAAATTATCATTAAGATTCAGGGTTAACACATACATAAGATGAATGAAAGGAATTTTCCCTTCTCAAAGCTATTGATTTGTGCTGTTTGCAGATTCAGGAAGGCACTGCAATATTGGTTTATCCTCAGTTCACAATTTGTACCTTTTCTTTGTAATCAGGTCTTCTGTGTAAGGAGAATTACATTTTGTAAAAAATACCCAACATGATAGTTTAGTTTCTGGAACAAAAGATGGAAGACGTGAAAAAAAAACCTACCAGGTTTCCAAGTCTCCATAACTTAGTCCAATTCTGCTATACCATAAAGGGGTCAGAGGCAGCCAGTTGGGAAATCCAATTTGTTCATAAACACTGAGGGATCTTTGTGATAAGAGGGACCACTCCTCATCATGTCATGACAAAGAAAGATAGAGTCTCTGCAACAACCTAGTTTTTCCATGGTTTAAATGTATCACCTCAGATATCTCTACTATGCCAAAGAGACTGTACCAAAAGAGACACTTAAATAAAACATTCATTTATCCTTAGCTGGATACATATTCAACCAATAGCAACATATACTGTAGTTACCAATTAAAATCAATGGATCTGTACCTGATTACATCTGCATTGAATCTGTATTGGTGGCTCACATTAACTCAGAATGATTATTGGTAAAAAGCATATTTTGGGGTGCCATGTAGGCATTCTGAGTGATCATGTTTCCAAATCCATAATTTGTGCTAGATTGAGGGTGCTATTTTGTCAAGACTGCATTACACAGATGTAATCAGTGACTTTAATTACAGAAATTGCACACAATAATATAAATGCTCTTACAATGGAATCAAGAAAAAGAGACAAGAAGAAATATAGGAAAATCAATGAAATTATTGGTATGGAATACTTGCATTCTTGTAGTTACTTAGTGTGATTTAGTTTCCTTTTTCTTATTGGTATGGAATACTTGCATTCTTGGAGTTATTTAGTGTGATTTGGTTTCCTTTTTCTAAACATCTCTATTTAAATAATGAGCTTCATATGAAACTTTTTTGATTGACTGATGTAAACTAATCCATGGTAAACCCACTATACATTGATACAAGCAAGTGTGTCCACATGGGACTTGTGCACTGGTTTAACTATATTCATTTTTACATTGATTTAGCTAAACTGATGTAATATCTGTATTTAAATTACTCAATAGGCTAGGGAGACAGCTCACATTTGGGACATGGGATTTGAAGAGAAATATGGAATCACTTAGTTACAAATAATCAGGAAAGCATGATCAGGGCAAAAGCAGGAAAAGGATCAGCTACTCACTCTGGAATAACTAGGAAAAGGAAGGGGTCTGACATTCAAGAGCCGTAGGGTATGTCTACACTACAGCATTATTTCTAAATATCTTATTTTGAAATAATTAATTCGAAATAAGTTATTTCAAAGTAACGCGTCTACACACAAAATGCATTTCAAAATAACGTTTTGCTATTTCGAAATAGCACATCCACACTGATTGGATGCTGAATCGCATTTAAGGCCGGCCGGAACCAGGTCCAGCAGGGCATCAGGTCAGGAGTTACTTTGTGTGGCTGCTGCCTGAGGCTATCTGAGGCCTGTGCTTAAAGGGACCCCCCCTGGTCAGCTGGTTCTCAGCTTTCCCTGCTTGCTTGCCTACCTCGATGAGGGACAGCAAAGCATTTTGTCTCTGTGTGCTCTGGTTGCCCTCACTCGGAACACCACAGCACTCTGCAACATGGAGCCAGGGCTGCCCCTGGTGCTTCTTGTGGACGTGTTGCTGCGAGTCTGGCTGCACTTTCTGCAGGCTGCCATCCGGGAGGTCCATCAGGGAGCCGTCAGTATCCAGGAGGCCCTGCAGGAAGGCTTCCACCTTGAGAAGCACTAAGAGCCTCCCTGGTCTGCCCTACTGGGGACTTGTGCCTCATTCCTCCCTCACGTCCTTCCACTTACTCCTCCCTAGCCCCCCTTCCTGACATCAAATAAAATACACGTATTTTCATGAACACAAACTCTATTTAACAAAACGGGGGGGGAGGGAGAAACTCTGGTGAGACTGGGGAAAGGAGGTGGGAGAGGGGAGAAGAAAGGGTTGGAGAGGGGAAGGGGAAACCTGGGAGGAGGAAGCTGGAAGGGGGAAGCAAGGGGAAGACGAGGGAGGGGAGCTCAAGGCTCAGGGTTGGGGGCCTCGCTGGACCAACTTGATTTTCATGCAAACCTGCTCCTGAGTTTGCATGTGGCCTTTGGTGGCCAGGCTGGCAGCTATCCTGCCATAGACAGACGAGTTCCTCTGTCTAGTGTTGGGG